ATACAATTAACCTCTCTGTGGTTCGACCCCGGTCTTGCCGGGTTATTTATTACTTCGACACTCCTATACTTGGGAGAAGACATCAACCTTTTAGTCGTGTCAAAGACCCTGATGAAGCAATGAAGTACTTAGACTTGTTAGCTGAAAATGCTCAAAATTGAGACACCGCAGGTACTTCTGAGGCACGGAGTAAAACTCAACCTCATACACCTAGTGGAGGTATGTACTACCTTAGGGAAGATCATGACCTCCATGCTAAGTTTGCATCTTTAGCTAGAAAAGTCAAGGCACTAGAATTGAAAAAGAGTGGTCAATTAAAATCTATTAAAAACATTGTGTGTCAACTATGTGAAACAAATAAACACTGAACCAATAACTGTCCAACCTTGCCTTCTTTTAAGGAATGTCTCCATGAACAAGCCCATGCTTTAAACGATTTCTAAAGGGCCAACAACAACCCATACTTGCAAACATACAACCCTAGTTGGAGAAATCACCCAAATTTTAGTTGGAAGAGTAATAATAACAATGTACAAACTTCACAACCACCGTTTCAAGCACACCATAATTTCCAAAATTCTCATGGATATGCACCTCCTTATGCTCCACCTCCTAGAAGAAATCTTGAGGAAACATTGCATGCATTCATTAAAAAGCAAGAGACAATCAATAATCAACTTGCTCAAAACATGACATATTTTAAAGATACTCTTGCAAAATTGACATCTGCTCTCAGTTTCCAAGAGAAAGGTAAGTTTCCATCTCAACCACAACAAAATTCCAAGGGGCAATACAATGCAAATGCAAGTAGTTCCGAAAGCCAAAACATGGATCAAGTCAAATCAGTCAGTACTCTTCGCAGTGGTAATGTTATTGAAAAACCCACTCTTGAACCTTGTGAGAAAGATGATGAGTCAATCTTTGAGGATAAGAAAGGGGTTGAATATGAAAATTGCAAAGAAAAGACTGATTCCCTACTAGCGCTTCCATTTCCTCATGCCCTGACCAAAAAAAAGAAAGTTAATCATAACTCTGAAATCTTTGAAACTTTCAAACAGGTAAGAATCAATATACCTTTGCTGGATGCTATTAAACATGTTCCTTCCTATGCTAAATTTTTGAAAGATCTATGCACTGTGAAGTGAAAATTGAAAGTGAAAAAGGAAGCCTTTTTAGTCGAACAAGTAAGTGTCATTCTTCAGAACAATAATGCTTTGAAATATAAAGACCCTCTTGGTTGTCCCATAATTTCTTGCTTTATTGGAGAACATAAAATTGAAAAGGCCGTATGACACGACGAAAAGATTGATGTCTTCTCCCAAGTGCAGGAGTGTCGAAGTAATAAATAACCCGGTAAGACCGGGGTCGAACCACAGGGAGGTTAATTGTACAAATTATAAATTACAATAATACAACAACAATAACAATAACAATAACAACAACAACAACAATAATAATAATAATAATAATAATAATAATAATACTAATACTAATAATACTAATAATAATAATAATAATAATAGTAGTAGTAGTAGTAGTAGTAATATTAATAATAATAATAAAGAAAGAGAAGAAGAAGAAGAAGATGAGAACTTGGAGATGGAAAATTAATGTAAGGATTAAGCAATAATAATAACAAATGTCAAGGTTAGAGGTTCCACTAATGGTATATCAAACAAGTATAGTATAAACTCTTATTATTGAATTGGAAACCACACACAAAGGAGGTTCCAATCAGATTATATATTGTTAACATGATTACATTAATCATCTTATTCAATTAATGCTAATACTTGTAAATCTCGTCAAGCATTCATGATTATAACTTATGTTAACAACAAATCAAGTTCCTTTCATAGCTCAGGTGTCGGTTATACCATACAGTATGGGCTATGAAAGTGCCAAGCATTTGTTGTACCAAATGTTAGTGGAACCTCTAACCTTGACATTTGTTATTATCATTGTTTAATCCTTACGTTAATTTTTCATCTCAAAGTTCTCATCAACTTTTGTTCTTCTTCTTCTTCTTCTTTTTCTTTATTATTATTATTATTATTAGTACTACTACTACTATTACTACTACTAGTAGTAGTATTATTAGTATTATTATTGCTACTATTATTATTGTTGTTGTTATTGTTACTATTGTTGTTGTTTATAATTTGTACAATTCACCTCCCTGTGGTTCGACCCCGGTCTTGCTGGGTTATTTATTACTTCGACACTCCTACACTTGGGAGAAGACATTAATCTTTTAGTCGTGTCAAAGATACTTAATTGGCTCCCAAAGAAGTCATCTAAATTAGGCAATTTGCATCCCCACCATATTTTAATTCATATCCAAATTTAAGATTAGGCTAGGGCCTTTTGAATTGAATCTTAAGTAGTATATCAGTGGGGCGAAGCATGAATGACCCTTTTTAGTGGGGGAGCAAAAGGTTAGACCTTCTAAAAGCACAAGCTGTGAATTCAAAGCTGAACATCTATAAATTTTTAAAAGTTGAACATTAGGTTATGGTAACAAGCTGTAAATTTTTAAAAGTTGAACATCAGGAGATTGCTCATATAACTTCAGCTCGATCCAACGATCGGATTGTAAAATATGATTGATACCATCAAATTTGACTATATATAATTTTACGCTAAAAATCTGAATTTTATGTACCATTTTATTTACTTAAATAGCCATTATTTTTAAAATAATTCATGGATGACTCCCATTTATAACCATCACAAAACTTTTCTCAAAGTTTTCACCACTTTTTGTTATAGTAAAGTAAGTTTACACGAGGCTTATACCAACAATCAATGTTTTTTTCACATAAAATCATATATTATTTTTCTTATAATTACATTTTATTATTATTATTGTATCAAATTTTGTTTCCCTAATTTATAAAAGTTTTCCCTTACATAATTATTTTACCTGATTGGGAAATTTACACAATTCGTCACTAGATTGAATTCCGCATATCAATTTTTTACTTTATTTTATCTGAAATTTAAGTTAAATTACTAAAAAAATTTCATCCCCATCTATAGCAAATTTACATCTAAATTATCATTTTCCAATTGAAATTTACCATTTTTTGCATTGATTTACCAGTTTTAGGCTGGGTTTACATCTTTGACGTTATAAAGTCTAGTCTTTATTTTAATTTTGACCAGCCTATGATGGGAGCCTACTTTGATTTATCCATTAGTGTTATCATACTAATAATATTTGAATAAAAAGATATACTTTTATTATTCTCATTATAATATTGTAATTCAATAACCTCTTCTAGTTTCCCATAATAATCAACTTCAAACTCATTAGAAGTTGATCCCTTAACACAAACTCTATTATTATAAGTTTTTTCTACCTTAATCATACTCTTCAATATAAAAGACATCCATTGATAAAATACTAGAAATAACACTTGATCTTTTTTTTAGAACTCAAATATAGTAAATTCAAACTACTAATAACATTGTAAATTGTCCATCTCGTAATTGAAAAAAATTACGATTTAGTTATTAATTTTGAGATAATAAAAATTGATGATGTTGCTTATGATGGATTTCTTAATCTCTTAGTTTATGAAAGTATGAGAAAAGGTATTTAAAAATAACATGTTAATATTATACTTATAGAATAAAACTATATCAATTCATGGTAATTAAATAACATATAATTATGTTTATGTCTAAATTCTATTTTGTCAAGTATTTTTCTCCCACTGCATTTTTTGGTACATGTCATCCAGGATAGAAAAATATTGACAAATTTTCAATTGAAGGCACTTATGCATTGTCATTATGTCTTGGAACACAATTGATTTTTGTTATCAATTGAGGCTTAAAATAGTTTGAGATAAATATTTAGATCTCGTCAACAGTATAAGTCTCATATATCAAAGTTTCAACATGCATATTGTTTTTAAATTTTTTCTTTAGGTTGAACAAGTAAATGCGTAAAATTAAATGAATGTTTTAAATTTAAAAAACAATACATTAAAAATTTAATTAGAACGCATGTGTAATCCGTAATTTTTTGAATGGATGCATCCATTTGTATTAGACAAAGCCTCCAATGTTTACCTCAAATGATAAATATATAAGTAGATACTTCATTAAATAAAAAAAGAATTGAGAGAATATTATTTCACGTTCATAGATTATCTAGGCGATATTTGTTTTAAGTTTTTTAATGGGTTAGGTATGGAACTTATCGAGATTGGCCTTGATTAATTGATGGTAAACTTATTCTCTTATGTATACTTCAACCATTAATATTTTCAAACTTCTACCTATTTTTCACTCATAATCTAACATAAGAGTTTCCTAACTAATATGTTGTCCATGAAATAATTCTCAATGATACTTTGTTATTATAATCACAAGGCGTGGTAGGTTATTATTAAATAAACATCATTTATTTATTTTCGTAGGAAACCTTTTATAAATAAGAGTATTTTGTAATCTTTAAATAAATTAATGCACAAGATGTAGTAGTTATCGATCCATTTTAAATTACATTAGTTATTATTTCTCATCTTATTTTGTGTTTGTTAATTTTTCTTTTTTAGATAAAGAAAAGAAGTGAAATGAATTTCAGAACAATTATTTTAAATGAGTAGCTAAAAGGATTGGAATTCTATAAAATCAAATTTAATTTTTAAGTATGCGTGCTGAGGCCATGCATTATTCACGAGTATGAGGTTGAATTTAAGAACCGAAGAAATGGAGATTTGTTATTTGAATCAAATGACCATTGACATCCGGAGAGAAAATTTGAAATTTTATAATCATGGTTAATGGCATTGTCAAAACCCAACACACCTCATCAAATACCCAGAAATTACCTAGAAGCAACCTGACGACGAACATATATTATAATTATAAATTTATAATCACAATCATCTGCATCACAGGACAAGAAAATCCACTCATATATAATACTTAAATAAAATGCGATCTAGAGCTTGAGGTCCAATCTCCAACCATATTTAACCCTTATTTTGAGTTTGTTGCTTCGTGATATCTTGGATTAAGAATGACAAGTTGAGGCTGGAAGATCCACCTAATTCCATAGCCTTCTTTGCCGATTTTCCAAGTTCAATTGCTTTCTTCCTCCTCTTCTTGCCTTTTTCTCCACCTGCATCCATCAACGTAATTACTGCCTTCTTGACCTCATCTTTCTTCACCAACACTCCAACTTTCTCTTCGTCTCCCCATCTCACTGGAACCTCAACGCCTACTCGCACACCGATCCTTAAAATCTCAACAATTAGCTTCTCATTAAGGAATTGCTCAGAAAATTGAGGCCATGTTATCATTGGCACCCCCGAGCAGATCCCTTCAACTGTAGAGTTCCAACCACAATGAGTTAAGAATCCTCCAATTGCTCTATGGGACAAAATGAGGACTTGAGGAGCCCAGCCTTTTATCAAAAGCCCCCTTCCTTTGATTCTTTCTTCAAATTTCTCCTTCACGAACCATTCCTCTAATTCAGAACCCTTCTCTCCAGTTTTCACAACCCAGATAAATGGTTGTTTAGATGCTTCCAAACCCAAACCTAGTTCTATTAACTGCGATGGCACTAGGCGACATAGGCTACCGAGGCAAGCGTAAATAACCGACCCTGGCTTCATAGATTCAAGCCACTCCAAGCATTGTTTCTCGTCAATTGAAGCCTTGTTGCCTCTCTCAAACTTATCTAAATTATTCTTGTTACATAAAGAAACTGGTCCAATGCACCATACTTTCTTCTTTAGAGCCTTCGTGTATTCCTCAGCGCAACCATGCTCCAACTCGTCAAAACTATTAACTACAACCCCATAAGCTGTAGATTCAGCCTCTTGCATCTTGTTGCGGACGTCGTCCAAGTCAGGTAAGCTAACAAATGATCCCGGTAGCTGAGCCTTTGTTACCTCAAAACTTTGTGGCATCCCTGGAACAACAAAAGGTTCTGAATCTGAAGTAACTGAAAGGTGAGCTTTGTGAAGCCTGATATTATGAGAACTCAAAAGAGAAAAGCAGCACATCCCGTGAAAAACAATCCGGGGGATGTTGAAACGTTGAGCGGTTTTGGATGTCCAGGATAAGCACTTGTCTGATATTATGCAGCTTGGAGGAGGTTTCGCATGTTCAAGAAGGAGTTCTAATGGCTGTTGCAGCCTAGCGACTGCAACATAGAATTTCTTCAGCAGGTCTCTTGAAGGTAACGTGTCAAGATTCTCGAGGCCGATAGGGAGCCCAACTTCCTCGCATGGAAACCGTATCTGTACAAGCTGAATAGGGAGCCCAGATTCTCTTGCTCTATTAATGATTGCCTCAAATCTTGATGCATTGTGAGGCGTGGTGACCAAGCTTACAGTCACACCTCGCTCTGAAATGAGCTTGGCCATGTCTATCATAGGGATCATGTGCCCTTGTGCCATAAGTGGGATCAACACGAAGTGCAGTGGGCTAGAGATTGGGGGCGCCATTACAGCAGAGCTGGAAATGGTTCTATGTGTGCAAAGTGGTGAAGGGAAAAGAAAAGGATGAATGATTCTCCATCCCATGTTGCCATGTCTTATTATTTTTAGTTGACTTTGAATAAGTCATCAACTCCCAGTTCTGATTACATATTATATAGCAAACGTATAATATATTTGTTGAGAATAATGTCCTCTAAATTTACTTCCTTGACCCATCTCCTGGGATTTTCCTTTGATTGAGTAAATGCATGCATACCATGATTTTGAATTCAAGCCGGGAGAAGAGGTGCGATCACATGCATGTTGCCAGTCGTTAATTAACCCAACCTACTCGCCCCCAGTAACCAATATTATGGGCTTATTTTTCTAACTACAACTCTAGCTATTTCTTTAATTGGGTTTATATATTCTTTTCTTTTTTTTTAACGGAGGTCGTATTGAGCAGTTAAAAAAAAAAAGATTTTTGTTGTATAAATTAACAAATGATTGAAACTTGTACTTCTAGGTAAGATTGCTAGTGGAAGTTGGAGGTTTGTTCGAGCAGAATCATCATCGTCCCGACCATCCCAATTCAACCACCATAGTTCGTCCCCGGAGGGTAATTGACTTCCTGTTCACCCGTGGGCTGTGCCCTTATTGTTAATTTTTCCCTCCACTAAAACTGCGTTTACAGAATATAAACTCACTTTTAATGCCACCTTTACTAATTATAATCTCTTCTTTCTTAGTTTCTCGTGAATTTGAGTGCTATAGTGCCGGACAAGAATTTTGCATTAGATAAAATATATAAAAAAAAATCACTAAAAATCTTACTGTTGAAAGGCCACTGCAAGATTTAAGAGAAAAATCAATAATATTTAATAATTAAATAAAATAAAAATTTAGTAAAAAATCCTGTGAGCTTTGCGCTGGCATGGCAGGTCTCCCATTATCGCATGCAACGCTGAGTTGACGTTGACCACTCCGTTTTGATTCCACCAGTAAGACAAATTACATAGCGCCAGTTTTCTCAAACTTAAAATTTGGTTTGATTGACTCGTGAATGCCCAGGATAGCGTGCCACACGCGACACCCTAGTTCTTTACTTTTACTTTTATTTTTAAAATTATTTTTTATTATAAATATATTAAAATAATATTTTTTATTTAAAAAATTATTTTAAAATCAGCACATTGAAATAATCGAAACATATAATAAAATAATTTTTAATAAAAAATAAAAATATTAATTTTTTAAAAAATATAAGTTGAGTTGCATTTTCAAAAACATTTTAAATTATCCATCTTGATTTAAATTCGACTTTTTCAAATATTCCTTGTTATCAGTGACTTTGTGAATATAAAATCTGATTTTATTAATTAATTAATAAAAAATGTATTTTAAAATTATCCTTCTTTTTTTATAAAATAAATAAGAGATGATCTCATGAATTTAAGTATAAATTTATATTTTAAAATTATCCTTCTTTTTTTTATAAAATAAATAAGAGATGTGACACGACTAAAAGATTGATGTCTCAAGTTTAAAATAAAACGTCAAATTATAAACAACTTGATACTTAATTTTATAATGAGCTTGCCATTTAATTCTTGATATAAGTGCAGGTTTTTCCTAACCTTTTAATAATTTTAAAGATATAACTATATAACAACTTTTTATTCATATAAGGGGTAATTTTGATTTTGTTGGTATGGCTTGGATTCTAAAATCAGCAATGTTATATATTTTGTTGTGTTCATTTTTTAAAGATAAAATACTCGTTATCTAACGTGGGATTTTGGATGTCATTTCAATATACCATTATGATATGATTTTGTATTTTTTTTAGTAACTTGGTATATGATATTTCTAAAATAACTTTTTTTAGATATTTTTTTTAATATTAATATATTAAAATCATTGAAAAACAATATTTTTTTAAGAAAAAATAATTCAAAAAATAAGTTGAAGTATAAAAACAAATACTTTGGTAGTCAATTTTCATAATTACATGTGAAGGTAGGAACCTTATAATTTCAAATCCATTGGAAAGAGTAGTAGCTTGTGTTTTTGGATGCTTTTTAAAAGTGTTTTGGTATTAAAAAAAATATCAAATTGATATTTTTTTTTAGTTTTTCTAATGATATCGATATGCTAATAACTAAAAAAAAAAAAAAACTATTTTAATAATTTTTCAAGTAAAATTACTTTTAAAAAACACTTTATACCACAATACTAAAGAAATTGGCACATAATTGATTGATACTTAAAAGTGTATTTTTATCGAGGTTTTATATCATCATTTTGCACTTGAAGTATCAATAACTCCTTAACTAAAGCATATTTTATAATAATATATCTAATAATATAAGATACATTTAATTTGTAGTAAATGTTCATTTTACATGCAGGCGTATCACATAAATGAAGGATTGATTGATGAATTTAAGAACTGAAATTAAAAGGATAAAGAGATGGCTAAACTTAGAAAAGAGATGTCGGTGCAATCCAAACCGGAACACTGTTCGGTAATTGGGTCATATCTGGAGCTATAGATCTCAGATTTAGGTCCAAGATTTAGGTCTACTTTATATGGATGGAAAGGTAAGACATAGGCCTACAACTTTCATTATAGGCCTATAACTTTCATATGGAGCCTAAGATCTAAAAAAGCCATTTTCAAGTCCAAATTGTTGCAACAATAAAAAAGCTTGAATCTGTCTTCCAGCCCGAGCACTGTTTAGTATATGGCCCATATCTGGAGTTCTAAAAATCCAAATGAGCTTAAGTGTTTACACAAGAAAGCTGAGACAATTTCCTACAACTTTCATGTTTTCAAGTGGCTCTAATTTTGACGTTATCAATGACGTTTTAGGTAGATAAGAAAAGATAAGGATTGTCACCAAGATAAGATGGGAGGTAGTCAAGTTTTGGGGGTCGTCCCCAAAGCTTTAGCACAAGGGGACATCATTGGAAAAATAATTGAAGAGAAACTTCAGGTCTCCACAATGTCAGTTTGAATGAATGCAATGTTTAACCATGTTGATGCCTTCATTACTTTATCAAGTGTCTAGGCACATTGGAAGAGATCTTTTATATTTCCTCTTGGGCCCAACTGCATATTCACCATAAACCCATAGGTTTGTTAAATGTTAATGGTTATTATGATAAGTTGTTGTCTTTTCTTGATCATGCTGCAGAACAGGAATTTCTAACATCTTCTGCACGACAAATCATAATCTTTGCTGCTACTGCTGAACAATTGATTGGCCAACTACAATCTTTCATTCCTGTAATTGATCCTTCCTTGAGTCGCATAAATTGGTCAACTAAGGAAAGTCGTAAAAAGCTTAGATTGGATTTGAGCCTTCATTTGTGAATCTCTGTGTCATTTGGTTTTATTATTGTGTTTTGTTGTTATTTATATTTGTTTTAGTGTGTTTCAGGTTTGTCAGTGTTTGTTATTTCAGGTGATATCTTCTATACTCTATCTTTCTACCTTTAAACATTGAAGACAATGTCTTGTTTTAGTTGGGGGGAGAGGGTAGTAGCTAAAAAAAAAAAGCTGTATTTTCTATTTCATAAAACATGTGCAAAATTGTTGTTATTATGATGGTAGAGTAAGGAGAACTTTTATGACTCTTGAGACATATCTTAGTAATCATTCGTAACAAGGTCTATCATAATACTTCTTGAAATATTCAGATTTACAAACTCTCGCATTGTTATCACTTAAGTCTGCTCATATACTTATTTAACATGTATTCTTAAACCTTAATTTACACACACACACTTTAAACATATGATTGTTGGTTGCATATTGGATTATTACATTATTTATGTTCTTTTGTTAAAGGTAACAACTAAGAGAAAGTGGGAGAAGACATCAATCTTTTAGTCGTGTCAAGATAGTATATAATTAAAAAAAGAAAAAAGAAAAAATGATGATAATAAAAATGTAGATAAGTTTGGTTTCGTAGCCTCCCTAACCTAAGCAATTAAGCCCGAAGGGGTGTTTTAACACCTAATACCCTAAAGTCAACTGACTTTGGAGCTATTGGCTCAATGCTTGGTATATGAGTTGAGGAGAAAAGCTTAAGGGAATCAAGCATTGCACTATCTACCTATCAGTATCTGCGACCCAAGTTACTAAGCTCGTAGGGGTGTCTTAACACCAAATGCCCTAAGACCAACTGGTCTAAGAGTCATTAGCTGAAAGCTCGTTACATAGGTTAAAGATGCATGGTGTTTTAAATTATATGTATATATATATATATATTAAAAAAAAAGATAAAATTAATAATCCCAACCCAACAAAGTTAACCTTAAAGATTAGAACAAAAATTTTGTTTTCTTCCAATAAAAGCCCCATAAGTATGTGTTGATACATTGAGCACAAAAGAAAGGTTTATTAATATCTTGTTAAGAGGTGTTGAGGAGGTATATAAATTTAACGAGAGTTTGTTTATTTGGATAGATTAATGGAAGTTGAATGATGAATACCTTGCTTTGTGGAATTTGCTAATTGTTTTTGTATTTTAACGCTTTGATTACTAGGGACTACTAATAAGCTGGTTGGGGGGTGTGATTAGTACTTAAAAGTGCATTTTTATCAAGGTTTTATATCATCATTTTGCACTTGAAGTATCAATAACTCCTTAACTAAAGCATGTTTTATAATAATATATCTAATAATATAAGATATCTTTAATTTGTGGTAAATATTTATTTTAAATGTAGGCCTATCACATAAATGAAAGGATTGATTGATGAATTTAAGAACTGAAATTGAAAGGATAAAAGATGGCCAAACTTAGAAAAGAGATGTCGGTGCAATCCAAACCAGAACATTGTTCGGTAATTGGGTCATATCTGGAGCTATAGATCTCCGATTTAGGTCCAATTTATATGGATGGAAAGGTAAGACATAGGCCTACAACTTGCATATGGAGCCCAAGATCTAAAAAGGCTATTTTCAAGTCCAAATTGTTGCAACAACAAAGAAGTCCGGATCTGTCCTCCAGCCCGAGCACTGTTTAGTATTTTGGCCATATCTGGAGTTCTAGAAGTTGAAATGAGTTGAATTGTTTACACAAGAAAACTGAGACAATTTCCTACAACTTTCATGTTTTCAAGTCGCTCCAATTTTGAAGTTATCAATGACGTTT